CCCTGGAGGGGTTCCCAAGCCGTGGAGATGTGGGGTGAGGGACACGGGGCAGTGGGGACCTGGCAGTGCTGGGGGCAGGGTTGGACTGATGATCTTAAAAGTCTTTTCCAGTCTCAATGGCTCTGTGCTTTCTGTGACTCTGATTAGACTCAAGAGAGGAATTTTCACCACCCTCAGATCCACCTCCCCGGGGCAGTGGTGGCGTCCCCAGCACGGGCACTGTCAGGCCTGAGCAGGACACGGTGCCCAGACCAATTTTTCCCAAGAAAAATTGTCTCAGATGACCCTTGAGATCCCTCCCCACCTGTGATCCACAATTCTATAAGTCTATAAAACATCTCCTGCACTTCTCCACTCAGAAAACCACCCCACAAACCCATTTCCCCCCCCGGGGTGACACCAGACCTCATTTTCCACCCATTTCTGTGCCCGTGGTGGGCCGGGGAGGGCAGGGAGCGTCTTGGGGAAGCTCTTTACAAAGGCATGAATCGCTTTTTTTATTTCAAATCAACAGCTCAGCCCCCTAGAAATCACTAATACAAAGCATGCGCCCGCCACGGCGGGGCCGGGAGATGCGGGTGGGCTCAGGGGATCCTGGCACCGGTTTGCTCTTCATTTCTCTCTCTTTTTGTTTCATTTTTTTTCCTTTTTTTTTGGTATTTTTTTTCCCACGTGTTTTGTAAAATCCAGGGTTCTGTCTGTCCCTCGACGACGAGCCCAGGCTGGGAGGGGGGAGGTGCCCCAAGGAAAGGGGCCACGGGAGAGATCAGCTCGCCGGGGAGGCTGCTACAGGCTGGGGGGAGGCAGGAACAGAGCCAGGAGCTCGGTCATGGAGCCCACGACACCAAGACCACCCCCAAAACTAAATACTGAGAACCCCCCCCCAAAACCCAGGGGGTGGGGGTCACCCCGCTGTCCTCACCTCTCCTTGTGGTCTCTGAGCTCCTCCTTGCCCTCCTGCTTGGCCTCGTTGGCGTCGGGCGCCCCGGGGGCGTCGCTGTTCTTCTCCCCTTCAGCCACGTTGGTTTTTGGCTCCTCCTTGGGGGTCTCTTCGTTGTCTATTTTCTTCTCCCCTTCTTGCCCCTCGGCCTCCTTGGTGCGTTTAGGGGAGTCCTGGGTAAAGGGGGGATGGGGGGGAAGATGAGGTTAGAACAGCCCCTGGGTGCTCCTCGGCCCCCAGCGTGGTCTTGAGGTTCCAGGTGCTGCCCTGGGGTCACCACCACCCCCCTGCAGGGCTCTGGAAACTGCCCCAGGGGAAGGACCTGGGGGGTTGGGCACAGCCCATGGAGAGGAGCCAGCGTGGGGTCAGGTGGCCAAGGTGGGCACCAGAA